GGAATCAACGAACGGACATTATCTGGACCCTCTTTATGAGACAGTCAGGGAAATTGGAGTATTGACCTGATATTTTAAAAAGAATTTTCTTTCCAGGTATGATAATGGCATTGTGGGCTTTTCTCCTCGTCTTTATCTTTAAAGGATTAACAACCTAAAAATCCGTGAATGAGTGATATATCCAGAATTTGCATTTGTAATCCAAGATGGTGGGAATTGGGGACAAGACTGACCACAAGTTGATAACTGTTGAAGATGGATGGTGGATGTGGGGGGAGAGAGGTTCACTGTACTATTATTTCTATTTTTGCATGTATTAAAATATTCCATAATGAAAAGCTAAAAAACTAAAGGTATACTAATAAAACTTTAGAATGAAAGTAGGTATTAACCTTTTCTGTGCCATAAACCACCCCTTTGGCAGTCTGGTAAATTCTATGAATCTCTTCTTATAGAAATGTTTTAAAATGCAAAATCTAAAACGCAGAATATAATGAAGGAAAACAATTATACTAAAATTCTGTTACCACAATAGTTAGAAAACAGATTTGGGACACAATAATGTATGTGCATCTTTATTAGGTCATTAAATAACAAGTGGGCCTACCCATGGCTCTATTCTGAAGTACTACTGTGCATAAACAGTATTTTGCAGTATCTAAAACAACGTAATGTGATATGAAAATACCTATGATCCCTATTAATGATAAAAACCCAGGCACTGCTGATACTTCTATGATTTATTTCCCACATTCCTAATCAAAGAAAATGCTAAGTTTTAGTTAGATGTTAATAAAAATGAAGACCTAAACATTTTCCTACTCCAATTCTCTCCTTGGAACCCAGATCAAAAACCTCTCGGTCACCTGCTTACTGAACACTACTCACATAGGGAGGCATCATGGCTCTGTACTGGGAAGTGAGGGCAGGCTGCTGTCCATTGAGTTTAGCTTGCGGAGGACCACAAGCTATCCTCTTTTCCACCACCTTGAGGATGTCATTTTGCTCTGATGATCCAGCTGTGCTTTCATCCTGGCCAGGGAGCTTTTCATCTTGGTCAGAGGTTAAGGGTGGGCCAGCAGACTTACCGCCATCTCTCCAACAAGCAACATCTGGCATGGAGACAGATTAAGAAAGGAATAAGAAGCATCTGAAAATGGAATAGAGTGACACCAAACTGGGCACATCTCAAGAAAATTTAAGCCAGTAACAAGCAAGCAGAGTGAAGGAGCAACGAAAGCCCAATCTAGGCCCTGTGGACGTTTTTAAGGTGTGTGGGTAAGCCAGGAGCAGTGGCTTCCAAAGCGGAGAGGATGCACCTCCGAGGGTGCCACCAAACCAAATGCTGGGGTGGGGGAAGAAAAAACCAGCGCTTCTCTGTTAGCCTTACCAATATTTGACACGGTGGCATTTCAAACTGTCTTGAGAAGAGGGGACAGGGTGCGAGTAGGGCTTGACAGGGATGCTCTTGCTCATTTGTTTTCGGTCTAGTACTGCTAGTTACACGTGCCCGAGGGAGCAGATTTAGTGACTGTATTATCTGGTTCAACTACACTTCACCGAATGAGACTGTGAATGGTTTTACAGGAAAGCCCTGCTTGGTAGGGAGCCTCCGAGATGGCCGAACGGCCTCTCCCTCCTGGTATGCACACCCTGTGTTCCACCCGCTCAGTGTACCAGCACAGATCTGTGCAGCCTGTAGAATAAAACAAGCAATGGCCCGTCTCTTCTGGGATTAGGTTATAAAAGATGGTGGGCTTCCATCTGTCCTTACTTTTTTGGGGGAAGTCATGTTGTGAGCAGCCCACGTACAAAAGAGCCACCAAGAGTGAGCTTGGAACAGCAGCCCAGTCAAGCCAGCATCAGATGGCAGCTTCACTGCAACTCTGTTGAGAGAGTTCTTGAGCCAGAAGCCCCTGCGCAGTGGCTCCCACATTCCTGACCCTCAGATACTGTGTGAAACCACAAGGCCACTTCGGTTTGTTGTTTTAAGTTTTGTTTTGCAGCAACAGATGAGTATCGAGAACGAGAAAACATCTATTTCTAATACAAACTCATCAACGACATTATAGCAATTACAAAACAAAAATAAAAAAAGATGATTTTCCCAGACCTGACTAGAAATGAGCTAAAAGAAATAGGAAATGTATCAGGTTATCGGAAATATGGGTTTGCATCTGGTACTGTGAAGAGGAACCTCCCCGGGTATACGCGTCCTTTGAGATATTTGGTAATGACAATAAGACATCTAAAAATCAAAGATTTTATATTTCTATCTTGAGTTTCTGCTTTATAATGTACATAATGCAAGTATCCCTCACTACCCAAATTGACTGGTTCCTGGGTTTGGATTTGAGTTCAGAAACCAAGGGATCCCTGAATATCAATGAAGTAGCAAGTAAATGGATACAATTTATAAATAAATAATATTTGCACATTGGGGGAGGTTTCTTCAAAAAATTTTACTATTGTAAAACTGATCGAATATTAATGTGCACATAAGGCACCTAGGCATCATCTTCCAACAAGTTCTCGAGTTGTATGGATGCTGTTCATGCGGAAACCACACTCGAGTGGCAAGCAACTACGGTTACCATCTGCTTTTTAAAAGTAGGCAAACCACATACACACTAGCAGGCAGAAGTTATATCGCATGACAAAAATGAATATAATCTCATTCTGTATTTGTATTAAATAGGAAATACTCTTACTTGGTGGGCGTAAACTAGGTCCAGGTCCATAGTTGTCATCGGTTGCTTCTTTTTCTTTTTTTTCCTGATCCCCAGCTGCCTGCAAGCTCGGAAATTCTTGCTGAAAATGACTGTTCACCTGGATTCCTACAGATTTTTAAAAAACATTAAATGTAACTTCTCCATGGAAGATAATTCAAAAACCCTCCCAGGGTAGAGCTCTCTGCCTTTTTCTGATAAATTATTCCATCTTTCAATGATGACTATTCACACCCATAAAACTTTTAAATTTACCTAGAATTAGAATCCCTTGGAAAGTTAATGAACAGCCATGAGGAGATAAGAATTTAAGAAAGGAACCTGCCAGACACTTCCGGAGGACGCATTAAAGATGGCGAGGCAAGCGAGGAGGCTCACTTCTTTTCTCTATCATGACTCCTTAAGTTTTCAATATGAGTCACATTCCTTTGCTAATGACTCTGAGAATCAGTCCAAATGATCTTACTGAAACAGAATTTAATAAACACTGCATGCGGTACCACAGTGAGGCTGGAACACCTTTGTTCAATTTACTGACTTCACTGACTGCTGAGATACCGCACTTCACTATTCACCCGCCTGGCTGCCTGTCTGCCTGCCTGCTTCCTTTTATACTTCTATAAATTAAAAGAGCTGATTTTATTAGCTTCGGGGCCTAGAAGGGTTTTCCCATACAATGTTTTATATACGTTTCTTGTTTTCCAAGTGGCGAAATTTTTGCTGGGGTCCGTCGCTCCCTGTGGGAAGGGAGGTACTACAGCGACTGTGCGTTACGGCTACTCTCCAGCTCTTCTCTACCACAGAAATCACGAGCGCCACGTTTGAAAGAGAGAGCTCAAGGGGCAGATGGAGATGAAGGGGGTTTCTAGCAATCTACACAATGTCTGCATCCTTATGTCTCAAAGAGCTGAAAGTACAGGTGTTGTCTGGTGATGCGGAATAAAGGTAAAATCGCACGGGACAGAGGGTACCTGAACGACTCCTGCTTTAATCCTAACCACTGGGTCATACATGGCTCTTAACACTGATACTTCAGTAGCCCAAGAGGTTTTAAAAAGACCCCTTTTTAGAGCTTGAGTTTATTTATCCTTTGACAATGTTCTCAGCCCCTGACAAACCTAACGACCCACCCTTATCTCCTGCATGGCTGCTCAGTAACTATCAAGCCTGACTAGTTTCCCCAGCTAAGGTCCACTTACCATCTCCTTGCCCACCTTGCTTGTTACTGGCCCATGATTTGGGAGCAGGTGCTACTTCTGGGGGAGCTGCAACCCCAGGTTTTGGCTGTGCTGGTGGAACTTCTGGTGTTCTTAAAAAAAATATGAATCCATTATTTCAAATATTATACATTTAAAGAAAATAAAATGAATACTGCATTTAGGGTGAATCTGTGCACCAATAATTCTGGCTACACATCTACTCATAGATGCAGCCTCCACATTCGCTTGCCCTTTGCGACTTTCCTTTCAGTGAAGTCCTGCTACTCTCTGTCCCTTTCCCTTCTACCTTTGAATCACCCCAGGAGAAGACAGCTCTGCTCATTTTTCATTTTGTAAATAAAAGCAGCACTCATTATTGAACACAGCTCCCAACGATCTGTTCTGAAGAAGTGAACATTTACATTTAGAAATAACAGTACGGCATACATACGGTCTGGCCTGGTGGGATGAGCCGGGGTAAGGCTGAGCAAGCTCTCCGTGTGGCCACTGGAGGCCAGCCTCCACACAGGTTTGCCACTGGACTTACTGCTGTCACTCAGCACCCCCACGGGTAAAAGGTGTTTTAAGAAAGGTCTACAGTTTTATTCAATCCTTGTAATGAGTTAATGCTTAAAAATGAAAAAGGTACTTAAGAGATTTAAATATTTCTGGTACACTCAGACCTCTGACTGATTTGCTGCTAGAAAATAATCCTACGACCACCCAGAAGCAGAAAACAGTCAGTCTTTGACAAGCTTTACTACAGTAGTCAAATTACTCTATGAAGCTCCCCCCAAAAGACTATAGAAATTTGATAACAGATAGAGGCAAAAAGCATCAAGTACCCAACTGCTCGCCTTATTTTTAAAAATCACCACCACTTAACTAGGTCATTCGATGGACTAAGGGCCCTGCATAATCTTTGACAGCAGGACGTTAAACACATCGAATGAATGATGATGAAAGGGGTCACCCCAGCTTTCTTGCTAATTCTTCATTCGTTCAAATAATATTACTTGAGCACCTATGACAGGCATCAGGCATAGTTTCAGGGAATCAGGCAGACAGAATCCTTAGCTCCATGAAATCATTTAGAAGAATCAATTTCTAATCACGTTAGAAAGAAAATGCCTGATCTGGTGGGAATGGGAGAGGAGGAAACCTGACAGAGTGTATAAGAAAAGCTGTGATTAGCAGCTGTCACTGTTCTACCTTCGCACATGGAAATACTGCCACTAAACCCACTCATAGGGAAAATTAATCAAAAGTTGACTATCTAAAAGACTTTAAAGAAGAGGTCCCCAACTCCCAGGCCGTGGACCAGTACCAGGCCATGGCCTGTTAGAAACTGGGCCGCACGGCAGGAGGTGAGTGGCAGGCGAGTGAGCAAAGGTTCATCTGTATTTACGGCCACTCCCCAGCGCCGACATCACCGCCTCAGCTCCGCCTCAGATCATCAAGCGTTAGATTCTCATAGGAGCACTGGACCCTGGTGCCAAAGCTTTAAAGGGCATGAGATACGTAATGTACAGCAGGACACCAAGCACACTGGAGGAACTCAAAGTAAGTTCCTACAAAGCAAGAGGAGCAGAGTGTTCTTTGGCAGACGCTAACTTACTTTTCTTCCTCATGCTGCTCTGGCTTTGACGCCCACCCTGTGCCGTCTTTCGGTACGATGTTCACATTAGGGTCATTGCCTTTGTTTTCTGCTTTGAGACTTGGAAGGTTAGCAGGGGGAGGCATCCGCCGTGAAATTCCAACTTTTCCAAGACTCTGTAATCCATGTCGAGCTGCAACTAAAGATCAATAACATCAACTTTCTTAGAAGATCTAGTTTATTACCCAGATCATCAAGCGTTAGATTCTCATAGGAGCACTGGACCCTGGTGCCAAAGCTTTAAAGGGCATGAGATACGTAATGTACAGCAGGACACCAAGCACACTGGAGGAACTCAAAGTAAGTTCCTACAAAGCAAGAGGAGCAGAGTGTTCTTTGGCAGACGCTAACTTACTTTTCTTCCTCATGCTGCTCTGGCTTTGACGCCCACCCTGTGCCGTCTTTCGGTACGATGTTCACATTAGGGTCATTGCCTTTGTTTTCTGCTTTGAGACTTGGAAGGTTAGCAGGGGGAGGCATCCGCCGTGAAATTCCAACTTTTCCAAGACTCTGTAATCCATGTCGAGCTGCAACTAAAGATCAATAACATCAACTTTCTTAGAAGATCTAGTTTATTACCTACTTTATTCTTAAAAGAATATAGAAACAGGAATTAATAAAAGACTGAACCATTATTTCCTAATATTTTAAGGTAAGAATTTTTCAAGTAGGCCACATATCCACTTCTCATGTAGAAATTATATTAAAATAAACTATCAAGCCACTGATCTGAGGCTTTAAAAATCCTAACAATAAACCTTGTATACTATGAAAAGGTGAACACTGACGTTGCTGGCTTTGTAATTTTTTTCAGGGACTCTATTTCGCACTTGAAACTTAGTTAAAGGACAGTATGCTGACTTTATATTCATAATGAACACTGCTAAAGTAACATATGTGGTCCAGTTTTTACTTTTCACTGTAATCACTGGGTTCAAGGTATCAACAAACCAAAACAAACCAAAACACCACAGGACTCTCCCTATTCCATAATTTGAAGTGCTAATAAATACCCACTAACAGTTAGCTCTATGCCTACCAATCTCATTGACTGAGTTTCCATCTGGAACCACACAATTCCACTTATTTTCTGCTGACATCAAACAAGAAAAAATAAACATAATTATAATTTTTTAACTCATGTAAAATGTTTAACTCACATCCCCTGAAAAATGCATGTGTATACAAAAAGCCCCATGTAAGCAGAGTTTCAGTAACCTGGGTTTGTCCTAGTTCCTAATAGGTACAGCTCAGGGTGTCATTTATAGAAAGTAACAAACCAAAAGCACGGAAACCATAACAAATGTAATCATCACTTGATTTTACTCACCTGTGGTTTTCTGAGTTTCTAATGACTTCCCCTTGTAAGTATTAAATAAACTGAGTGTCGCATACTTTTTCCCATCCTTTGCTTTTGTGCTCTGGCCTGACTTCTCCGACATTTCGGTGGAAACTCATCGAGTCCAAAACCTCCTGCCACACCCCTTAAAACCAGTCTTTGAGATGCACAAAAGGAAGAAAAACGAGAAGGAAAATTTTAGAATAGTTTATTAGCTTACTAAAAACTAGTAAATTCAAATGTTCACAGAAATTTTATTTAAAATCCTGAAAAATAAAAACAGATCAACCTTCAATAGCTCATATCAATAACAATACACAAATTAGTTCTAATTCTGTTTCCCTTTCATTCAATGAGGTGTACACACATCAACCTTAGGGTTTTGTTTGTTTGTTTTGAGGGGTTTGGATGGGAGTATGGCAGGTGGCGAATTCTACCAAGAAACCATCACTAGTTAAAAAGCGTCGTGAACTGAAGCACCGGGGTTAAAGACAGTGCAGCATGGGTATATCAGGCAAAAGAACATCCCAAGTCAAGGAGTGTCCTTGGAGACCCTGACAGCATCAAAACCATTTCATCTACTGGTTTTACACTTGACTACACAGGGTGAGCACCACTTGCAGAGATGTGGTTTTACATGCATATCAACTGCCAAACTCTATCTGTGTACACAGTTCCATTAAACTTACCGAGAATTTTTGCATCTGTTATCTCATTTCAGTCTAATAATCTCATGATACAGTTAGTTTCCTGATTTTACAGATGAGGAAACTGATGTTCAGAGGTAAATGAGATTGGATTTGGAATCAAGGCTTCTGGGTCAGTCCATTACACCATGCCACCTCCTCCCCACGTAACTGTATAAAACCACTTAACTATACACTCGACAATGAATCACCTTTCCTTCTGACAAACTGAAAAAACTCACCTGCAACCGAAACAACTACGCAAATTCATGGATGGCCTGCTGTCGTATGTGGAAGAATGTGTATAACTAACTATACCCCAAGGGTGCCAATGCTGATGGTTAGGACCCCCTGACTTACTATAAGCAGTTATAGTCCAAACAGTGGTTCATAAGCCTTGCTGCACATGAAAATCACCAGTGGATTTCAAATACACCAGAATCTGGGGTGTCGGGGTGGGGCCTTGACATTGACCCTTATTTTGATACAGCTCCTTTGGAGATCCTAATATGGGAGCAGTCTTCACAATCGCTGCAATTAACAAAGTGTAGTATCTTCCCTCCCATTCCATCGAAAGCCAGTCCTTCCTCCTGCGCTGTCCATCCTGTCCTCACTCCCCTTCTCCTTCTAATCTCTTCACTGTAGTGAACCTCATCCACGCCTATGGCTTCAACCATGAACTGACCATCCAAGATTTGCATCTCCAGCCCAGAACTCTGGGCTACATTAAATAAAATTACACACACATACATATATATATTAAGATTACTTTTTAGGACTGCCTAGTTACATTTCTTTTTCTGTTTTGAATAAACTTTCAATTTTACCTAGAACACAGGCATCTGTTTTATATTAAGGAATTCTGCTTATATTCGAAAGCAAGCCTACCAAATATTCTACACAGCATGACAGGAAAACAGTAGTTAAAAAATTAAAATGACAGTGAACAGACAAACTATCTCATCATTTGGCAAAATGTGAATGCTATATAAGAACTCAACATATTGAAGAAAAAACTTGAAGAAACCCAAAAATTAATGCTATAAACAGACAACTCGCTAGAGAAATAATACCAATAAGCAAACGTATCAAAATGTTCAATTTCGTTAAGTAAACAAAAATTAAAATAACAAGCTAGGGGGTTCAATTTGTCCTCAGCTTACACAAAAAAAACAAGATAACATTACAGAATTCAACCAGAGAATGACAGAATATCTAGTTCGAGTCCAGCCATCATAAAACATCAAGGCGTGAAAAGAATCATAAAATAAACCTTAATTTTCCCATTTAAAACCAAAACAAAACTAAAAAATTTTCTATAAATTATAAGGAATTTATTTCCAAATACAAAAAAAAAAAAAAAAAAAAAAAAAAAAAAACAGGTTTTATATAAGGTCAAATGAAAAATTCCTGCAAATATATTATAAAATTAATATTTGAGTAGGTCTTTTTTGAAGTTCAATATTCTGTAAAAAGGGTCTACTTCTATTGTTAAATTACTATCTATACTATGCCCTTCTTTTCCCAAACAAGTAGTAAACGAAATACAAACTGAGTGTATTGAGGTGAGAAAGATGGACAAAGAATCAGCTTTTCAGGCCACTAGAATAGAGAATAAATTTATATTTCATATACTGAGTCTCTTTCGTTTTTATGTTTTACAGTACTTACTATACCAGAGAAAAAGTAAAACATAACATGACTGAAATTACCGTAAATGAAAACAAAAGATAATTCAATCAAAAGATAAAGACAAACTATCACTTAACATGATCATCGCTATAAAAGTTTGCATTTCTAAAAACAGAATTTGTAGCTATAAACTATAAGACTGAATAAATCAGAAAGTCCAATTCTAACATGATGGACGGTTTGCCAGTTAAGTGTGGACACTTTCAGTTTAAAGCCAAAGTTTAATTTAGCCCACTAATCTGTTTGGTGCCTTGCTTCTGAAAGGCTTAGGAGACACCCTGAAACTCTCAATTAGGTTCAAACTTTATTCAACATACTTGAGAAAAGTCAGTGACCAGCTCAAAAAATTACTTTTAGGAATGTAAAACTACAGTACATAAAATAATGTATTTTTTTTTTAAAGGATTACTTTTAGGACAAAGTATCAAAAGAATCCAACCAATCCAGACTAAGCACCATCAAGACTTAGTCTCACTTTGTATAGTTCACTTAAAAATACTTTAAAAAATGTAATTACTGTTTGGATGACAAATCGTAGATACAGAGCGAGGAAGGCCAGGGCCCTAACAAACAGAAAACAAAGGAAGTGAACCTGAAGTTACCGTCTGGAGAGTCCCCAGGTCACGGCACTGAGAGAACCCCAGGGAGGCAGGCAGACTCCCCAAGTTGAAAAAAATGAGGCCGAGCGTTCCGGGTGACCAAGGCAGCTAGGATCTAACACTGCAGGACCCCCGTGAGTATGCAGACCACCAATCTGCACGTGTGTGGGAAGAAACTCCCCAAAGATGGAACCACCCGCAAAGGGCGGGCCGCAGAGCCTGTCCTCACCAGCCAGACTTCAGAAAGCCTCCTATCCACCGGGCGTTGGGGAGACTATTCAGAAATGCCTTATCCCAGTAGTGCTGGGAAAAAGAGTGCTCGCAAGTGAATACTGCCCTGGTCGTGTCTAAGGAACCTTAAAGCAACAGCCAAAATGATCGAACTGTTTTCAGGTGACTGAGCCCCAAACAAATTTAAAGAATATTTATGAAAAATGAGAAGATATCCAGCACCCAAGAAAATAAAATATTCATTGTGGCATCCAATTAAAAATTATCATGCAAAGAAAAATATGAACCATGTTAAAGAGAAGACTCAATCAACTGAAACCAGCCCAGTTTACTCAGATGTTAGAATTACTTACTGGACAAGAACATAAAACAGTTATTTTATTACAACTGTATTCAACCTGTTCAATAAGAAGAAAGTAGCAATGGGATGAGATTAAAGCACCACTTATAATAGCAATTAAAATGTGAAATACTTAGGGACATAGCTGACAAAAAATGTGTAAGGTTTGCATACTGAAAACTACAAAACATTAAAGACCTCGATAAATGGAAATATGCTGTGTTTATGGGTCGAAAGACCCAAATTAAGATGTCAGTTCATGCCAAACAGATCTAGAGATTCAAAGCAATCCTAAACAAAATCTCAGAAAAAAATGAGGGAAGGAGTCTGAATTTGTCAAGCTGATTCTAAAGTCCATAATGAAATGGACAGGATCTAGAATAACCAAAAGAACTTTGAAAAGAGAAGATGGAGAGCCAAAGTCACCTGATTTCAAGACATGTAAAAAGCAGCAACCGAGACAGTGAGGTGTTGGTGTAAAAAAACAGGCCAATGGGACAGAGTCTAGAAGTGCACACGAGCGTCTGGTTTTTGACAAATGCAAAGAAAATTCAGTGGATAAAGAATAGTTTTCTCAGCAAATGGTACTGGAGCGACTGTGTACACATATTAAAAACTGAACTCTGATCCATACTTCACAAAACTCAGTTGAAAATGGACCACAGCAAAGGGCACAAACTTGCAGTGAGAAGATGAGTACATTCAGGAGATCTAAGGCACAGCATAATGATTACAGTCAATGATATTGTACTATATACTCCAAAGTTAAATGTTCTCACCACAGAAAAAGAAAGAAAATTACATGACCTGACGGAGGTGTCAGGTGAGGTTATGGTGGTAATAATATTGCAATACATAAATGTCTCAAATCAGCATGTTGTACACCTTAAAACTTATACAATGTTATATTTATTTTATTTCAATTTTTGAAAAAAGAATCACAGACAAAATTTAAAATCTACAACTACCAAACATCTAACCCTGGGTTAGATAAGGACTTCTTAGTACACTAAAAGCATAATCCGTAAAAGATGTAATTTATAAATGGGACTTCTGTCTATGGCCATGCCACCCTGAACAAGCCTGATCCTATCTGATCTCAGAAGCTAAGCAGGGTCAGGCCTGGTTAGTACTTGGATGGGAGACCACCTAGGAAGACCAGGTGCTGTAGGTGTAAAAAATAAAAAATAAAGAACAAAAAATAAGGGATTGTAAGCTGACAAGGTCCTTGCAATCTATGAGGTCAACCAAGGGTTGCTTCGCCTAAAAGAAATAAATTAAAAAAATATATATAAATTGGACTTCTTTTTGAAAGATATTGCTAAAAATGAACAGATAGGCTACTGTCTGGGGAAAAAACCTGCAAATCATATATCTGATAAAGGACTTTTATCTAGAATCTATATAAAATTTTCAGGACTCAATATACAAATGGCAAATGCAAATTTCAACCGCGATGAGATACTTCCCCACATCTATTGTATTGGCTAAAATTACAGAACAATTATACCAAGTGCTGATAAGGATATGGAAGAGCTGGAACTCTCATAGCCCGCTCCTAGAATGTAAAATGTTACAATCACGTGGAAAACCAACTGGGCAGTTTCTT